TGTGTGTGAGTGAGTGTGTGTGAGTGTGAGTGTATATATATATATACGATTGCATCACAATGCATACCTGACCGGTACGGCACTTGTTCAATAGCCCACTGAGACACATGCTCTTGTTACCATTGCCCATAGGGTCAGGGAATAGACTCAATGCACGCGCAGCTGTAGTAGGTAAATCAGATAGCATTAGGATATGGAAGACTTCTCTACCAAATCGCATGAGGGTTTCAAGTGTACAACAGGGTGTGCTCATATGAGTGTAGTATAATAATACGCAAGTATACTTGGAGTATGGATGTGCGAGAAAAGTTTTCTGTCTATTGCCTATATAGATAGTAAAGGGATCCAACGCACATACGTAAAAGGATTTGCAATGACTATGAGTATGACCAAATATTGTTTAACGAAACAAATGGGATTTTACACACACACATACATACACACACACACACATGCACAGACACAGACACAAACGACACAACGACACATCAGTGCTTACATGTAATTAGATGAACGCGGAAACCAACGCGAGCAAGGCGGAGAAAAGAACACGCGCTTGATCTTTGCAATCACACGAACATATGTACACAAACAGACTAACGCTAATGTTGGTAATCAGGCGAGCCAACGAGCACGAACAGAGGCTGTTGAACTGTAAGCTCGTACAAGCTACTCAAAGGGTAGGATATAGTACACGATACTATTGTACCATAACTTGTATGTCAAGTAGCAACGCAGACGGTAAACAGCACACACATACCCGCAGTATCCAACTTCATGTATTGCGAAAGGTCGTAGTTTTCCAATACGAACCGGTTGAAGTTAAACTCGTCACTGAGCAGTTCCAGGTACTCTATGATCGCATTGAGTGCTGAGAGCGATGCGACCTCTTCGGTGATGTTCACAGAGGCACTCTTGCTCTCCCCTTTAAGCAATCTGTGGGCACAGGACAGATTAATCAGGCCAGCTCAACAGTAATCGTGCTAGCAAATGGAATATGTTTACAGAATATATATATATA